TAGAAGGCAGAAGGGGACAGGAAAGCTGGTGATAGGGAACCCCAGGTTGAGTAAGGACAGTGCTGACATGCAGTGTGGTTGTTAACCATTGTCATAGGGCAACATGTGTACTAAGTGTTTAATGAGAAACTACTTCTGTAAACCTTCATCTAAAGTGAGAATAGCAGCACGACTGGAAGAATGTAATCAATGTTACTAAATTGTACATGTAGAGATTTTTGAAATGGTGTGTCTTTGCCTATGTATATTTTCACCAAAAAAATAAAAAAGGTTGAGGAGGGAGAGGGTTGACATGTCGTGGGGTTGTTAACCAATATCATAAAACAGTATGTGTACTGACGAATGAGAAACTATCTGTTCTGTAAACCTTCACCTAAAGTACAATAAAAAAAAATCAAAACAAAACAAAAAAAATAATTTCTTTGTTAGTTTCTCACCCCTTTCTTATTGGGGAGGAGCCCTGCTGGCACAATGATGAAGCACTTGGCTGCTAACAGAAAGGTCGGTGGTTCGAACTCACCAGCTGCCCCGTGAGAGAAAGATGTGGCTATCTGCTTCTGTAAAGATGGCAGCCTTGGAAGCCTTATGGGGCAGTTCTACTCTGTCCCTGTGAGTGTCCCTATGAGTTGAAATCAGGTTTGGTTTTGGTTTTGGTGTATTATTGGAGAAGAGGGACCTGTGAGTTTTAAAGTTTATTTATTTATTTATTTGGTAATTCCAAAGGGTGCATAGTGTTAGACTGTGGGGTTAACTGTATGCTTGTTGTTGTTAAATATTGTTTCTGTGGGCTTGGGTTATGTACTTAGATTTCTGTGAAGTGAGCTGACAATGTAGAATTCTGAGCATCCTGAGGTCAGGATTGCCATGGATTCCTGTTCTTGAGAAAGACAGTGAGAAGAGTCAGGGGACCTAATGATGAGTTAGTAAATGGCTCATTCAATGAATCTGTCACCTGAAAAATTACTCTGCTGTGATTATAAGGCTAAGGTGTTTGCAATTTGAAAATCAAATTGGATCTTCCCTAATCTAAGTAAGTCTTGGGGTTCAAACAAAATTTGAATGCAAAAGTCACTGAAATTTCCCTTTAGGATTTCACTTGCAATTTTTTGTCCTTTTTATAAAAAATAATTTATTTTACTTTTTGGTGTTGTCAAGAAACATACGCAACAGAACATACACCAATTCAACAATTTCTATATGTACAGTTGAGTGCCATTGATGACATTTTTTAAGTTGTGCGACCATTCTCACCCTCCTTTTCTCAGCTGTACCTCCTCCATCAACATAAACTCACTACCCCCTAAGTTTCCTGTGTAAACTTTCGAGTTGCTGTTGTCAGTTTGATCCCATATAGATGATTCTTAGAACAGCATAATGTTCAACGCAGATATTCTTTACTAGTTAAGACTTTAGGGGATGTTTTTGGTTTAAAGTTTAAAGATGATCTGAGGGCAATAGTTTTGTGTTTTTTTCCAACCTCCGTGGTCCCTTTTTTTTTTTTTTTTTAAATTGTAGTCATCCTCGTGAGTATGAAGTAGTAACTAATTGTGATTTTGATTTGCATTTTCTGAATGACTGCTTATGTTGAGTATCATTTCATGTGCTTATTGGCCATTTTTACGTCTTTGGAGAAATGTCTGTTCAAATCTTTTGCCCATCTTTAGATTGGATTATCTTTTTGTTGTTGAGTTTTAAGAATGATTTATATATTTTGGATACTAGACCCTTACTAGATAAATAATTTGCAAATATTTTATTCCATTCTGGTTATCTTTTCACTTTCTTATTAGTATACTTTGATGCCCAGAAGGTTTTAATTTTGATGAAGTCCAATTTGTCTATTTTTTCTTTGTTGCTTGTGCTTTGGGTGTCATACCTAAGAATCCATTACCAATTCCAAGGTCATAAAGATTTACTCCTTTGTTTTCTTCCAAGAGTTTTATAGCTTGAGCTCTTATACTTAGGTCTTTGTCCATTTGGAATTACTTTTCGTGTATGGTGTGAGGTAAGGGTTCAACTTTATTCTTTTGCATGTGACATCCAGTTGTCCCAGCACCATCTGTTGAAAAGACTATTCTTTCCACTTGGAATTATTTTGGCAACCTTGTCAAAAATCAATTGACCATAAATGTTTGGGCTTTTTTCTGGACTCTCACGTCTACTCCATGGATCTAATTTCTATCTGTATGCCAGTATCACACAGTCTTGACTACCACAGCTTTGTAGTAAGTTTTCATATTGGGACGCATGAGTCCTCCAGCTTTGTTCTTCTTTTTCAAGATTGTTTTGGTGAATTTGAATCCCTTGCATTTCCATATGAATTTTAGGATCAGCTTGTCAATTTCTGCAAAAAAAAAAATACAGCTAGGATTTTGGTAGGGACTGAATTGAATCTGTAGACCAATTTAGGGAGCATTACATCTTAGCAATATTCTGCTTTCCAATCCATGATTTTATTTAAGTCTTTGTTAATGTCTTTCGATGATGTTCTGTAGTTTTCAGTGTCCAATTCTTGCTCTTATTTTGTTAAATTTATTCCTAAATATTTTATTTGTTTTGATGCTGGTATAAGTAGAATTGTTTCCTTAATTTCCATTTTGGATTATTCATTGCTAATGCATATAAATGCAATGAATTTTTGAATACTGATCTTATTATATTCTGTAACTTTGGTGAATTTTGTTAGCTCTAATATATTTTTGTGTGTGAAATCTTAAGAGTTTTTTACTTGCAAATTTTATAGTTACTTCTAAAGTTCCTTCTGCTTGTTGGCTTTTGAATTGAAACTTTTTTGTTGTTTATCTTTCCCTCCACAGAAATGAGCCACAGATCATCAGATTTTGCTAAGATTATTAACACCACAGAGAATCTTGTGCGGGAATTATTGTAAGTTAAAATTTTAAAGACCAAATTGTATGACTCTTACTTTATAATTCCATACCCAGCTGTCTGTTAGACATTATTTTCTGTACTTGTTTTTTATGTCCAGAATATTCCATAATTAAACATATTATTTTTAAGATCCTCCCAGATTCAGTCTTAGTACATGATGCTTTTTAAAGAACACATTTATTTTCTCACAGTTCTAGAGGCTGTTGTTGTTCTTAGTTGCTGTTGAATTGACTCTGACTCATGGCAGCCCCATGTGTGCAGAGTAGAACTGCTCCATAGGGTTTTCAAGGTGGTGACCTTCCAGAGGCAGATTGCCAGGTCTGTCTTCTGAGGCACCTCTGGATGGGTTCAAACCACTGATCTTTTGGCAGTAATGAAGTGCTTAACCATTTGTGCCACCCAGGAACTCCTTTCTGGAGGCTCGAAATCCGAATTCAGGGCATTTGGCAGGGCTGTGCTCTCTCTCTGTTGGCGCTAGGGGAAGATCCTTCCTTGTCCTTTCAGCTTCTGGCAGCCGGGCTATTTTCTGGCATTCCTTGGCTTGTAAATGGGTCTTCACAAGCTGTCTTCACCCTTGGTGTGACTCCGTTTTTGTGTCTGTCCTCATAAAGAGGCCACTCAGAAGAGATGAGGATTAAGACCCACCCTACCCTGGTATGATTTAACCATATGCAAAGAAAAAGCCTGTTTCCCCAAAGTTACATTTACTTGTACAGGGGTTAGGACTTCATCATATCTTTTTGGGGGACACAATTCAATCCATAACACTAGGAAAGAGTTTCAGCACTGTGGAATTAAACTGGCTTAAAAGAGATTTAAATGACAAAGAAATGGTCATCTTTGTTAGCATTAATCCCCTATGATTTCAGGCAGTGGTTTTGAAGTATGGACCTCTGTCACAATCACCTGGTCGGGGGATCAGTTATTAAAAACTCAACTACTGGGCTCCACTCAGACCTCCTAAATCAGAATCTCTGCAGAAACTTCATTTTTATTGGGCTGTTTGGATAATTTTAAGGGTTCTGTGATCTGGGAACTACTGCTCGAGTGAACGGTCTAGGTTATCTGTACTGTCTTTCCTAGACAGAGGAAATCTTAATCTTAGATTGCTGTTTAAAGGAGAGGTTTTGTGTATTATATAAATATATACTCACATACATCTACGAATATGGTGACCTTGGAAAAAACTCTTTTTTTCCCCTGCTCACAAAGATAGTGCACATTCATCGAAGAAAATTGAGAAAAAACAGAAATGCACAAAGAGAACTGGAATCTTCTATAGCCCCACCAATGAGGGATAATCATTGCTAACATTTTATGGTCCATCCTTGCATTATTTGGACCCTGGTGGCACAGTGGTTAAGAGCTCAGCTGCTAACCAAGATATCGGCACTTTGAATCCACGAGCAGCTCCTTGGAAACCCTATGGGGCAGTTCTACTCTGTTCATTGAGTCCAGAATTGACTCAACGGCAACAGGTTTGGTTTCGTTTTGCATAATTTTATTAACAGTATTGGAACGGTACTGATCTTTACATAACTTTGCTTTTGTATTAGTCTCCTAGGGCTGTTGTAAAAAAATACTACAAACTGAGTAGCTTATAAGAACAGAAATTCATCGCCTCACAGTTCTGGAGGCTGGGAGTTCAAGATCAGGGTGTTAGGCATGTTGAGTTCTTTTGAGGCTGTGAGGGAGAATCTGTTTCATGCCTTTCCGGTAGCTTCTGGTAGACCCAGGCTTTCCTTGGCTTATAGCTGCAGTATTGCATGGCTTCCTTCCGAGGTCTCCCTATCTTCTCTTTTGTAAGGACCTCAGTCATAAAATTAGGCCCTACCCTAGTCAGTGTGACCTCATGTTAACCTGATAACATCTTCAAAGATGCTATTTCCAAGCAAAGTCACTTCCACAAGTTAAGGGTTAAGACTTCAACCTATCTTTTTCGGGGACGTAATTTAATCCTTAACATCTTCTAAATTGCCTTGACAGAATGATTCAGATGGGGCAGGCTTGGTAATATTTATGTGAGGAGCATAGAAGCCCGCTGCAGTATGAGTGTTCAGAACTGGTGACCATTGCTTGCTTCCTATACCCATGCCTACCTGCTGAGCCCCACGTAATTCACAGAACGATCTTGCTTTCATGGAGGTGGGATGGGTTTGAACCTTAGCCCAGGAGATGCAGCGTTTGACCCACGTGGCTGTGAGCCTGTTCTGACTAGGGTCCCAGTTCAGATTACTGGCCTATGCTTTCTTCCTCTGGCCAAGTTCCTACCTTGTACCCCTGTAACTAGGCCTCTGTCTGGTTTCTTCCCACCCAATTCCTGACCTTGTTAAACTGCCTTGCATCTGAGTAACATAAATCCAGAACCCTGCCTTGGGCTACCAATCCTCCCAGCTGCCTGAACCTCATGGTTAGAGCCCTCCTAAAATCTGACTGCTTGATCCCATTATTCTACTGAGCACTGCTGTAGGCCAGGCATGGTGTCAGAGCAAGATATTTGCATACCACTTATTCTCTAAGATCCTATCACATTGCCCTGCCTTATGTTATTTTACTTACACCTCTGTGCTAGAGCTCAGTGCCCTGGGCATCTGCCTTCTGCTTACCCATTCCCGTACTCTGACCTTGAGTCTAATTTCCATGGCCCAGTACCTCTGGAGCTGGCCTTATTCTGCTGCCTGTAGCCATTCCAGCCATCATCTTAATGACAAAGAATTTTAATCTCAGTGTAGTACATGATTAGCCATGAAATGTTATCAAAGATTCCTTCCCAGTATCCATTTGGCAGATAACATGGTACCATCTAGCAAGTAGATATTTCAGGACTTTTGGTTGCAAGTGACAGAAGGCCAACTTCCTGTCTTGAGCAAAAAAGGGAATGCATCTACTCATGTAACAGAAAAGTGCAGGAGTGATTCAGGGGCTTAGATAATGTCAGGGAGGCCCTTTTCTCTCTCTCCTGGCTCTTTGTTATGGATTAGCTTCCTTCTCGGGCATACTTTTCCCACATGGAGACCAAGATGATCACTCATGGTTGCAGGATTAGCTCCACCAAGTTTATTCTTCACCTCAACAGAAACAGTTCCTCTTTCCAGAAGTTCAGTCAAAGGTCTCAGAACCAAATCCCATTGGCTGGCTTGGGTCATGTGCTCTTCCCCTGGAGCTGGGGCTGGCCACAGTGAACCATGTGACTGAGAGTCAGAGGGATGGTTTTCTAACGGAAAAATCAGGTGTCGTTACTAGGAAAAGGAGGAATAGATTCTGTCCATACAATAACCCTAGGTGTCCACCACTGTGCTTAATGAACAGTTGCTAAAGGGATGAATAGATGGATGACTGAATGGGGAAGACAAAGTTAGAACTAATGGGATTTTACCGTATGTCTTGGTAGTAAATCCACTTAAGGTAAAGCACTGGTGGAGTATTACTCATTCTCAGTCTTTGGTCATGTGAGTCTGTGTATTAACTGTCACCTCTGCTTCTGCCCAGAGCCGTTCCAGACAACTACAAGGTGATTTTTGTGCAAGGAGGTGGGTCTGGCCAGTTCAGTGCCGTCCCCTTAAACCTGATTGGCCTGAAAGCGGGAAGGTGTGCTGACTATGTGGTGACAGGAGCTTGGTCGGCTAAGGCTGCAGAAGAAGCCAAGAAGTTTGGGACTGTAAATATCGTCCACCCCAAACTTGGGAGCTATACGAGTAAGTGATGGGAGATGAGCTGGACGGAAAAATGCTGACCCTCAGATGTCATGTTACCCCTTCCCAGGGCAGTCTGCAGGTGTTTTTAATTCTTCCCTCCCCTTGTGAGTAGTTAGTTTGGTACCACGTAGATTGGGCAATTGTCTGTACTAGTTGAGACTACTAACTGGCTGGTGCAGAAAGAAGACTTACAGGCTCATTTAGCTGAAAAGTCCAGGGGCTGGTTTGGCTTCAGGTATGGCTTGATCAAGGGCCCCAGCAATGTCTCTAGGTCCTGATGTCTCCCCTCATGGCTCCACAGTCAGGAAAGTTTCCCCCTCCCATTTGGCTGCAGCTGCTCCTGACCTTACATTCTCCCCATTTCAGTGCCTTTGCCCGAGCGTTCCCAGCAACAGCCTGATGTCTCGGGTGCCTCATTCTGGATCAGCCACTGTGCTGTGCCTGAGTCACATTCTGCCTCTGGGCCTAAGGGTGGAATTGGCTCCACTGGAATCATAGCGCTGAGAGTGAGGGAGGGCTTGGGCTCCAAGAGGAAACCACTCGACCATCAATGAAAGTAGGAAGGATGGATGACAAGAAATGAACCAAATATTCACCATGCCATTCTTGAAGACTTTTTGCCCCCAATAACAGTCGAAAGGGTGGGACAGATCATCCTTTTAGGATGTTGGCCATGATTCTAATGCAAGATTATAGAGCGTTTTTACTTGGGAAATGCTTTGGAATCAGTTAATCTTGCTGCTAGGGGAGAGATATCGATCTCCTGTTTGATTCCCATCTGCATAAGTAAAGAAGGGAGTAAATGTGGAAAGTATCATACTTTTTTTCTGTGATAGAAATTCCAGATCCAAGCACCTGGAACCTCAACCTGGATGCGTCTTATGTATATTACTGTGCAAACGAGACTGTGCATGGAGTGGAGTTCGATTTTATACCTGATGTCAAAGGAGCAGTGTTGGTTTGTGACATGTCCTCAAACTTCCTATCCAAGCCAGTGGATGTTTCCAAGGTAGCGTATATAACAGGCTGCTCTGGGAGAATCCACTGTCTCAGTTTATTTAGAAGAATTGTAATGTATATTACTTGTCAATGCTTTGGAGTTGAGGTGGGTATAAGGCAAGGTGAGGCTGTTTGACATAAGCCCCCAGAGCTCGGATAATATAGGAAAAGGGACCAGTGGTGGCTCAGTGGTAGAATTCCCACTTCAACGCCGGAGACCCAGCTTAGATTCCTGACCAGTGCACCTAATGTGCAGCCACCACCCATCTGCCTGTTGCTATGATGCTGAACAGATTTCAGTGTAGCTTCCAGACTAAGATGGACTAGGAAGAAAAGCCTGGTGATCTACTTTCAAACATCAGCTAATGAAAATCCTATGGACCACAACAGTCTGATCCACAACCGATCATGGGGATCGTGCAGGACTGGGCACCATTTTGTCCCATTGTGCACGGGGTTGCCCTGAGTTTGGGGCTGATTTAACAACAGTTAACAACAACAGGATAAGAAGGATTCTGGGAGTCTGGGGCCAGCAGACCGTGAAGCAGACCAGCTCTTAGTAAGTAGGCAGACTGTTGCTTGCTTATTACTGGTTGTAGAAATTTAAGAATACTGACATTTCCGGCCCCATGATAGTGATAACCTCGCAGGGTCTAGTCAGGTCCTTGATGAATTCGCCACCTTTGAGAGTGGCTTTTAGGCAACTTTTTTGGTCAACACGCTATGAGTGACTTGCTGTCTTCAAGGGAAGATGCATGTTATCCAAACCCTTGGGGCTTATGTGAAAGAGCCCCATCTTGCCTTATACCCACCTCAACTCCAGAAGCATCGACCAGACATGGATTTTATGAGTGGCACACTGAGGTGGGGTGGTGGGAGCAGTCTACCCAGATGCATGCAGTAAGGGGGTAGCGGTTAAGAACTACGTCTGCTAACCAAAAGGTCGGAAGTTCAAGTCCACCTGGTGCTCCTTGGAAACTCTATGGAGCAGTTCTACTCTGTCCTATAGGGTCGCTATAAGTTGGAATCAACTAGATAGCAATGGGGATTTTTTTTATTATAAAGAATTTTAGAACAACAATTAACCCAACTAAAAGGCGGTCTGCTTGTTATTATCACCATGCACTGGCAATTCTAAAGGATGCCAACTATAAAAGACTCCTCCCCACTGGGCCAGGCCATTCCCCCTTTCTCCACTTGGCACAGTAATTAATTAATTAAAGGTTTCACAAGAAGACATGGGAGAGGGTTCTAGATCTTGCACAACAAAATTTTTAAAGTGTCTTTAAACATCTGTAGTTTTCTGAAATTTCTTCTCCCTCAGGCAGCCCGTCCCATCCCTCTTTCCCACAGCCATCTTCTTTACTGCATCTGCTGATTGTCCTTTTATACAAACATTAATAGGTTAAAAAGTCTGTGTCTTTGTAAAGGGTGGTTAATGCATCGGCCTCCTTTTGGTTACCAAGGACACTTTAGAAAAAACAGTTGTATTGAGTCAGCTCCGACTCATGGCAACCTGATGTGTGTCAGAATAGAACTATGCTCCATAAGGTTTTCAGTAGCTGATTTTTTTTAAGTAGATCACCTGCTGCCTTTCTTTTGAGGTGCCTCTGGGTGGACTCGAACCTGCAACCTTTTGGTTAGCAACTGTGTGTCTTAACTTTTTGCACTACCCAAGGACTCCAAGGATAGTTAGAGGCCCCATTTTAAAGACTGGTTGCAATGTAGAAAGGAGGTATACAAAGTGAATAAAAACCAAAAACTCATTGCCGTTGAGTCGCTTCCGACTGATAGCAACCCTATAGGATAGAGTAGAACTGCCCCTTAGAGTTTCCAGGGAGCGGCTGGTGGATTTGAACTGCTGACGTTTTGATTAGCAGCCACAGTTCTTTCTTTTTTTTTTTTTTTATTGATGTAATTAAATGAAGTTTACATTTCAAGTTAGTCTCCCATACAGAATTTTTTTTTTTTTAAACATGCATCGTTATGAGACCCCAACCGCTCACCCCATTCTGCAACAACACACTCCTCCCCTCTGCCCCTGATTCCGCATGAACATTCAACCAGCTCCTAACTCTCTCTGCCTTCCCCTCTCACCTCTGGACAGAAGCTGCACCTTTGGTCTCTTATATCTACTTGTCCAAGAGGCACACTTTTCATGAGTATCACTTCATGTCCCACAGTCCAGTCCAATCCCTGTCTGAAGAGTTGGCCTCCGAAATTGTTTTAGTTCTGGGGTGATGGAGAGACCAGGGGCCATGCTTTCTGGGGCACCTCCAGTCTTAGTCAGACCATTAAGTCTGGTCTTCTTACTAGTATTTGAGTTCTGCATCCCATCGTTCTACTGCTCCATCAGGGACCCTCTGCTGTGTTCCCTGTCAGGACGTTCATTGGTGGTAGCCGGGCACCATCTAGTTCTTCTGGTCTCAGGCTGATGAAGTCTTTGGCTTATGTGGCCCATTCTGTCTCTTGGGCCAATACTTTCCTTTTGTCTTTGGTGTTCTTCGTTCTCCTTTACTCCAAGTGGTTGGGACCAGTTGATGCATCTTAGATGGCCGCTTGCAAGCCTTCAAGACCCCAGACGCCACTCACCAAAGTAGGATGCAGAACACCTTCCCAATAAGGTTTGTTATGCCATTTGACATAGATGTTGCCATAGTTCTTAACCACTGTGCCACCAGGGCTCCACAGAGTGAATACGAATGTGAATATCTGTAAGGCCATTAAAATGCTGGACTTAGGTCAGCACCTTACTCATGAGAGGGACCAGACACACAGACCCTGTGGGCTTGGAACTCTGAGTATTGATTCACTGTCTCTGATAGAGGTTCCTTTAGGGAATGGAGTGTCCCCTACATAGAAACAGACATAGAAACAGTCTATTCCTTGAGGAAATTATGCTTTGGAAAAGAGGGTGGGAAGCTTGAATAAATTTGTGACAACCAACCAAATGCTCCTAATATAGCACACTTTCCTTTTTTTTTATTTTTTAAGTTTGGTGTGATTTTTGCTGGTGCTCAGAAGAACGCAGGCTCTGCTGGGGTCACAGTGGTGATCATTCGTGATGACCTGCTGGGGTTCGCTCTCCGGGAATGCCCCTCCATCTTGGAATACAAAGTGCAAGCTGGAAACAACTCCTTGTACAACACGCCGCCGTGCTTCAGGTAAATCCAGCACCCCATGTTGTGGACCAATGGAGGGGCCTCACTACTTCCCCTCAAGGTGGGGTGACTTAATGTAGAGCATGCTTCCAGGAACCAGTGACCTGATAGTCCCAGATATCCTGTTATAATTCTCAGCCCAGCTCACCTTCCCTGCCTTTATCCTCTGTGCACTGTTTGATCAGCTTTTCTTCTTGTCATTCCTTTCCTTTTTTGGTGGATGTTTTTGTTTAATCTTGGTAGTCTAGGCCCTGATGGTTCACCATTAACCCAAAAGCTCTCTGAAGATAAAGTGCTGTGGCCTGCATCGCAAATAGCCAGTTCAGCTTTGAAACGAGAGACTTTGAAAGGCTGGGCCTCCCCCACTTTCTTTTCTTTGCCTGATGGGCCTGCATGAAGCTGGTCTGCTCCATAGCAAGCATGTTGGCTGGGAACCCCCTTGTGCTTTGTAACCCCATCTGCAGGGGTCCTGTTAGCCCGGCTTCCCGTTAGCTGAGTGGGAGGCTGCATTGCAGCGTTTTCAGGAAGAGCAAGCCTGTCTGCCCCACTATCTTGTAACTCCTTGATTCAGGTGTTTTGTAAAGGTCTTCATGACACCTTTCCCATTGCCGTTGAGTCGATTCCGACTCATGGTGACCCTATAGGACAGAGTAGAACTGCCGCATAGAGTTTCCAAGGAATGTCTGGTGGATTCAAACTGCCGACCTTTTGGTTAGCAGCTGTAGCACTTAACCACTATGCCACCAAGGTTCCCTCATGACACTTAGGATTTAACAATTGCCTGAGAAATCCTGTTACTTACTAGCTGTGTGACTTTGGGCAAGTCACTTAGCCTATCTGTGCAGCAGTTTCCTCTGGAAATAATAATAGTACTGTCTTCTTTGGGTTGTTAGGATTAAATGAGTTGATATAATCAGTGCACTTAACCAGGTACAGTTGACTTGCCTCCGACTCGTGGTGACCCCATGTATGTCTGAGTACAACTGTGTTCCATAGAGTTTTTTGAAAGTAGATTACCAAGCCTTTCTTCCAAAGGGCCTCTGAGTGGACTTAGACCTCTTACCTTCAGTTTAGCAGCCAGGCGCTTAATTGTTTACACCACCCAGGGACTCCAATTAATGTGCTTACTGCAAGTGCCAGAGTTTATGGATTTATCTTCCCAGGGAAACTATGAGCTAATGATATAAACAGTGATGCTTTATTTTTACCTGTTGCCTTTGAGTCACTTCCTACTCATGGTCACCCTATGTGTTACGGAGTAGAACTGCTCCATAGGGTTTTCCTGGCTGTAGTCTTTATGGAAGCAGATCACCAGGCCTTTCTTCCATGACACTGCTGGTTGGGTTTGAACTGCCATCCTTTAGGTTAGCAGTCAATTGCAAACCATTTTCTTTATTAATCCTCCCAACAACCCTACCCGGTAGGTACTATTATAAGCTGAGGTCATATTTTTAGTAAGTGCCGTATTTGGGAGTTGAACTGTGGCAGTCTGGCTCGAGAGCCTGGATACATACACTCTGTTCCCTGTCACCTACTCCTAATCACAAGCAAAATTGCCAGCATGGACTTGTTTCTATTTGAAGGTTCCTTCTTGGGAAAATGGATTGCTGTTGACTCCATCTCTTCCACTCGACAGAATTTATCTGCCATGGGTGGGAGGTTTCTTAAAAGAGTCTAAAAAGAGGGGGATCGGGCTTGTGCAGTCAGTGGCTCTGCCTGGGTCAGGACCTTTTCAGAACTCTTCCCCCAGCTATATAATTTACCACAGGAAAGAAGGGAGTTTTCTTTTTTTTTTAAATAGTTGTGCTTTAAGTGAAAGTTTACAATTCAAGTTAGTCTCTCATACAAAAATTTATATATACATTGTTATGTGGCCCTAGTTGCTATCCCCGTACTGTGACAGCACACTCCTCCTTTCCACCTCGGATTTTCCGTGTCCGTTCAACCAGCTCCTGACCCTCTCTGCCTTCTCATCTCGCCTCTGGACAGGAACTGCCCGTTTAGTCTCATGTATCTACTTGAGCTAAGAAGCACACTCTTCACGAGTATCATTTTATGTCCCTTAGTCCGGTCTAATCTTTGTCTGAAGAGTTGGCCTCAGGAATGGTTTTAGTTTTGGGCTAACAGAAAGTCCGGGGACCATGTCTTCAGGGATCCCTCCAGCCTCAATCAAACCATTAAGTCTGGTCTTTTTACTAGAATTTGAGTTCTGCACCCCACTTTTCTCCTGCTCCGTCAGGAACTCTCTGCTGTGTTCCCTGTCAGGGCAGTCATTGGTGGTAGCGGGGCACCATCTAGTTCTTCTGGTCTCAGGCTGATGAAGTCTCTGGTTTATGTGGCCCTTACTGTCTCTTGGGCTAATACTGTCCTTGTGTCTTTGGTGTTCTTCATTCTCCTTTACTCCAGGTGGGTTGGGACCAGTTGATGCATCTTAGCTGGCTGCTTGCTAGCTTTTAAGACCCGAGGCGCCACTCACCAAAGTGGGATGCAGAACATTTTCTTAATGATTGACCTAGATGTCCCCTGAAAGCATGGTCTCCAGAACCCCGCCCCTGCTACTCTGTCCCTCGACGTGTTTGGTTGTATTCAGGAAACTTATTAGCTTTGGTTTAGTCCGGTTGTGCCGACTAAGAAGGGAGTTTTTTTTCAAACTTAGAGTTCAGATGGAAGTTTCCCCTGGCTGTCTTCACAGCTCACATGATGCAGAACAGCTCAGCGTTTTGTGCCTCTTGCTTTCATCAGGGAATGGGGTGTTCTGGTTGCTTAACTCTCCTGGTCACCTGTAAACCCCACTGGGTTTTCTCCCCAGTTGAAAATGTTTCTAAAATGCATGTAAAGGATTTGTGTGGGTGTGGCAGGGACCTGAATCTTGTCTTTCACTGGCCATCTTACTTCTGGGGTTCTGAAAAACCAAACCAAACCTGTTGCTGTCAAGTCGATTCCGACTCATAGCAGCCCTATAGGACAGAGTAGAACTGCCTCATAGGGTTTCCAAGGAGCGGCTAGTGTGTTTGAACTGCCAACCTTTTGGTTAGCAGCCGAAGGCTTAACCACTGCACTGGCCGCCTTAAAACAGGAGCTGGTCGTGATAGGCTGTGAAGGCACGTTTGCGACCCTCAAGTGCAGGCGCAAGAAGGGAAAGGGGGCTTAGGTATGAGGCTGCATGATGGTGGGAGGTAGTAGGAGGTGGTCATACCTACCTGTAAGAAGGTGGGTTCAGGGCCTGCCTCCCCGTCAGGTGAGGCAAAAGTTACCACAGACTTGGGACGTGAGAAGTGGGAGGAGTCAGAGAGCACTGTGTGAAGTGTGGCCTGAGAGGAAGCAAGTGTTGATCAGAGCACAGCCCTGGGAGGAAGAAGGGACAGTTATACCCTGGGCATAACTGGGTACCTTCTCCAAGAGTTACTTTTAAGCAAATTTTTAAAAATGTAACACGTATGTTAACATGCTCTTTGTTAATATTAGGGTGAAAAGTCATTAGTGGAAATAGTGCAAAAGCAAGTCAGTCTGTTTACTCTGAGATAAAAGTGTCTGGAGTCTTCAAAGAAGTGACTTTCATGGGGTCATTCTCCTACAGCCCCTGTGCAGGCCTTGGCTTAGCCTCGACCCGTCAGTCAGCCACTCCGTTAGGGGTGAGGCTGTTCGGTAGGAACCCCCTCCCCAGAGCTTTCCTGCCTGAGGAGAGGGCAGAGCCAGAAACATGGGCAGAGAAGGGGCCAAGTTTCCTTTCCCAACAGACTGGAATAGTGGAGATTGAGACCATCTCAGGGATGTCAGGATTGTTAATATTTGATTAGAAACTGTAAATGTAGAAGGTGAAATCACTGGATTAAAGGTATTCTGACCCTTGGACCACGCATCACCACCGCATCCTACCCCCAGCTCTCACTTGTTTTGTCGTTTCCTTTTTTAACGCAAGCTCTGGTGTGGAGTCAGGGGGCCAGAAAAGAAAAGGAGAAAAGTTCTGTATAATTGAGGAATTATCATACATCTGTTATGAGGCCACTGGAGGTTCAGTGCTAGAACTCTTGCCTTCCGTGTGAGAGACCTGGGTTTGGTTCACCTCACGCGCAGCCGTCACCCATCTGTCAGTGGAGGCTTGCATGTTGCTATGATGCTGAACAGGTTTCAGCGGAGCTTCCAGACTAAGGTGGACTAGGAAAACGTCTGCTTCCGAAAATCAGCCAGTGAAAACCGTATGGATCACAAAGGCCTGATTCAAAACGGATCATGGGAATGGCGGTGGTGCAGGACTGGACAGCGTTTCTTTGTGCATGGGTTTGCTGTGAAATGCTTCAAGTTCATTTGCAGTGCTTAAACTTTCAAGATTAGAAAATTGTAGCTCATTTAGTGAGAATAGTCTCCAAATGGACACATAAAGATTTGTGCAAATACCCTGCCCAGTCATTGAATGTAAGGCTGATAAGGCTCCCAGAACATTTTAGAACTTTGTGTCACATAGTAGAAGTCCTTGAAAAGGTCCTTAGTTTGAAAAGATACGGTGTTTTTTTTTTCATCAAAACTGAAGGACAGTAGGGCCTGGGAAGTTTGTTTTAACTGTGCTGGGTAAACAGCCTTCACATAGTTGCCTTGTAGCCCTGACCACTGAACTGGGGTGGAATAAAGGCCCACATTGTCATTGTTTTTAACCCTTCAGTAGAACACCCAAAAAAGACCCATTGCCGTCGAGTCAATTCTGACTCACAGCGATCCTATAGGACAGAGTAGAACTGCCCCATAGAGTTTCCAAGGAGTGTCTGGTGCATTCGAACTACTGACCTTTTGGTTAGCATTCATAGCACTTAACCACTATACCACCAGGGTTTCCAAATGAACAAATGAAGCCCAATTAGTGAGTATCACAAAAAGATGCCTAAACTTTTCCTTCTCCCTCCTGAAAACATTTTTTACTTACCATAACTAACTGAACCCACAAGTATAAATTTGTTTTAGCTGCAGTATGAGGTACAGTAACTAATAAAAACACAAAACCTTGAACCTGGGCCACCTTTCTTATCAAAATGGGAGCTTGTGCAGACGGAGCCTGAGACCTGCCCTGAGCGCTTAGCCTCCGCCCCTGGGAGGGATTAGCCTGGGGACTGCTAGGGTGTGGGTAGTGGAACCAGCTTTGGAAGCTTTCCTCTTGGAAAAGGGCTCCACATGGTTACTGCTTTGACTGATCCCTAGGAAATTATGCCTGGGCAATACCATTAGCTGCTCTTGAGTATTATGTGATTTTGGTTTGGTCTGCCATTTATGTGGCCCACCTGCTGTATGCCAGGCCCTGTGTCGGCACGTCACCCAACCAGCTGACTTCTGGGAAAACTCCAGAATTTCGTCGGGGTTAGAATCTTCAGAACAGCCAGGGAGAGATTTCCTGGGGACTTTCTGGTGTGCTTTTCTGAGCCCTGGTGTACAGGGAATGTTTTGTATTGCTTTACAAAATTATAAAGGCAACACTTGCTCATAGCAAAGATTTGTGAAGTGTGTAGAGTTGTCGAGGTAACCACCAGTAACGGCTTGCTGTGTATCCCAGCAGACCCTTAACTGGGTTAATACCTGTAACCTGTTGCCATCGAGTATATTTGTGACTCATGGCGAACCCATGTGTGTCAGAATAGAACTACTCAGTGGGGTTTTCAGTGGCTGATGTTTTGGAAGTAGAGCACCAGGCATTTTTGCTGAGGCTCCTCTGGGTGGACTTAACTGCCAACCTTTTGGTTAGCAAGTGCGTTAATAGTTTGCACCACCCAGGGACTCCCCACCCAGAGCTGTATATTTACTTATGCAAATTGAACTTTACTATATATACTGTTCTATAACTTCCTTTTTTCTACCCAACAATATACTATGGACACTCTTCTATGTCAGCCTACCTTTTTTCTTTCTTTCTTTTTTTAATAGTTGTGTGGTATTCCATAGGAACCCTGGTGGCACAACGGTTAAGAGGTAGGCAGCTAACCGAAAGGTTATTGGTTCGAACCCACCCAGCGGCTCTGCAGGAGAAAAGACCCGGTGATATGTGTTCCCATAAAGATTACAGCCTAGAAAACCCTATGGGGGCAGTTCTGCTCTGTCACATGGGTCACCATGACTTGACAGCTCCTAACAACAACATGGTATTGCATAGAATGGATGTACCATGATTTACTTAATCATTTAACAGGAAGGCTTAGACAGGTAGACTTAAGCTGTGTGTTGGCACATGCCATTTTAGAAGTGAAGGCAAATCGGTTTAAAGTATTACACTGGTAGTGGGGAGAATTGAGAGCAAGTCACAAAGCTGCATAAGCATTTGTTGTTGTTGTTAGCTGCCACTGAGTCGGCCTCCAACTCATGGCAGCCCTGTGTACAACAGAATGAAATGCTGCTCGGTCCTGCGCCATCCCCGTGATTGGTTGCAGGTTGGACCAGTGTGATCCATGGGGTTTTCATTGGCCGATTTTCAGAGGTAGATTGCCAAGCCTTTCTTCATAGTCTGTCTTAGTCTGGAAGTGCCACCGATGCCTGTTGAGCATCGTAGCAACATGCAAACCTCTGCTGACGGACAGGTGGTGGCTGCGCATGAGGTGCATTGGCCATCAAGGCATAAGCATTCCCTGTTGCTGTTGAGTCGATTCCGACTCATAGCGACCCTACAGGACACCGTAGAACTACCCTGTATGGTTTCCATCGAGCAGCTGGTGGATTCGAACTGCCAGCCTTTTGGTTAGCAGCCAAGCTCTTAACCACTGTGCCACCAGGGCTCCGCATAAGCATTAGGGCCCCTGTATTTTCCAGAGTTTGAATTTCATGGGGGTAGAAAGGTGAGTTAGCAGTGCATTGGAAGCCAGGAGGCCCTTGTGTTAAGTAGAGTCACGGGGCCAGATATCTGAGGCTATGGAGAGGGCCCATGTGTTTTGTTTTTTTTTGGTGGTAAAATACACAGAACCCAAAACTTCGCATTTTAACCATTAAAAAAATTTTTTTATTGTGATAGAAATAAATAGAACATTTGCCATTCCTACGTTTTTCACATGTGCAATGCAGTGACATTAATTACACTCCTCATATTGTGCGACCATCACCACTGTCCATTTTCATATTTTTCCATCACCCTTTGCAGAAACAGTGCCTCCGACATTTTAACTGTTGTAAAGAGTACCATTCAGCGGCGTTTAGTACGTTCACACTGTTGTGCAGCACACCTCTGCGTAATTCCAGGACATTTTCATCACCCCAAAAGGAAACCCCCACACTACTTAGCAGTCACTCCCCATTTCCTTCTTCCTCCCGTCCTAGGAAACCTGACTTGCTTTTCTGTGGTCTATTTCCAATGAAGTCTGTAAATCTCTCTCAAATGTCTTTCCCCATTTCCAACGCTGAATTAAATAGATTTTGTTTTTTACCTTTATTGTAGCATCTATGTCATGGGCGTGGTCCTGGAGTGGGTTAAGAACAATGGCGGTGCAACAGCCATGGAGAAGCTTAACTCCATCAAATCTCAAATGATTTATGATGTCATTGATAACTCTCAAGGATTCTATGTGTAAGTCGATGGATTTTATCTCACGTTTTGCCTCTTGTGAATTTTAAAATGTGTATATACTGTGTACTTTTGAAACAATGGACACATTGACTTCTCTCTGAGACACTGAAGTGCTGGGGAGGTTGAGTGGTCCTTGGGCCCCTTGAGCATGAGGGGTGAGCCCTTCCCTGCATCCTCATCCCCACAATCCCAGGCTTTGGAACCTGTCTCCCCGGGGGTGGTGACGACTGTCACACCAGACATTGCCCTTGGGAAGAACCTCAGTTCAGCCCTGGGGTGGACCGTTCTCCCACTCTCCATACCTCACCTGGAAAAAAAACATGCCTTCTTGCTGGAAGCTGTCAGCTTGCTCCTGCTGGCAACTCTTGGTGTAAACACCCACTCCTGGCCTCCTGGGTTAAGAAAGTTCACTGCTTCCCTTAATACAGCCCAGACGCTCCCATCCCAGGCCTGCTGTCTGTGAATGGAGTTGGCTATGTGATGGGCATCCCTAGTTAAATAATTTTGTGACCAAATGACTAATGAACCTGTATTGGCTTTGTATTAGTTTCTCAGGGCTGCGGTAACAAATGACCACTAATTCAGTGGCTTAAAACGACAGCTGTTTAGTCTCTCACAGTTCTGGAGCCCAGAAGTCCAAAATCAAGATGTCAGCAGGGCTGTGCTCCCTCCAAGGCTCTAGGGCAGAAGCCTTCCTGGCCTCTTTCAGCTTCTGGTGGTTCCAGTGTTCCTCGGCTTGTGGCTGCCTCATCCCAGTGTCTACCTCTTCTTCACATGGCTTTCTCTCTGTGTGTCTTCTCCCCTTCTGTCTGTTAGAAAGATGCTTATCATTGAGCTTGGGGCCCACCCTGATAATCCTGGATGATCTCATCCCTTAATTACAGCTCCAAACATCCTTCTTCCAAATAAGTCTACATTCACAAGTTCCAGAGGTTAGAACTTGGAATATCTTTTGGGAACCACCATTCAGCTCACTATAGGCCTCTCACCAAAATGCCGGATGTGAAGCAACCGAGCACAGGGCCTAGCACACAGAAGCTTACAAATGATATCTTCGTTTGCTTTTCCCTCTCCCTCAGGTGGGCACAGGTGTACAAGGACCGAACTTTACATTATGTGTGAGTGCACATGTGTGAATGTGCATGTATATGTGCACATTTTTACACATACTTCTCACACACATACATAAACACACTCACTTATGAAAACCAAGACCTCCTTCTTAGCAGTCATGACTTTGGGATTCAGTTTTGTTGTAACGAAAAAATACCTGGCTGACAGTAACATAGGAATTTGTACTGTCTTTGAGAATTGAGTGGGCCACATGGGGGACAGAAAAAATGATTCCACGATCCTAACTTAGAATTGTATGTTTTAATCAAGACTTCCTAACACTTCACCAAAACCACCCATGTGTGTAGAGGGATATGCTTTTGGAACTTTAAGTAGCCTGCTACTGTCTCCTCTGCCCTTAAAATGCTGCTTGCCCATTCCTCTAACTTCTTGGCATGCAGTGACCCTCTGGCCACAAGCCCTGGGAGAGTCCGACTTGGCTGGACGCCTTCGCCTTTGGGCTCCTGTCTCACGGGCAGCATCAGAGAGCCCTGTGCCATCTGGGGGTGGGGGTGCACATTCACATTACTGTAAGTGCAGGCTGAGTACTTGGTCCTGGAGAATCTTCTGCCCTCAACCCTGGTGTATGGGTTGGGAAACCAGGGGGCCCCACAGTGCTTACTGGAGCCATTTTAACATGCAGGATTAACACCAGACTGTTGTCCAAGTCATTCATAGCCAGGGCCTAAGGAATATGGTATGAGCTTGGAGCAGGGAGATACTGTTCTGGTTGGAGGAGGAGGCTGGATGAGCCAAGCCTTGGGTATGAATGAAATTAGAGAAGAAAGCAGAAGTACTTTCAGGAACTTTTAGGAAGGCAGAGAACGGACCTCATAAAGGCACAGTGCTTGAGGAATAGAGTGAGTGGGCTGCCTGGAGGGGATGGCTTATGCCGGGATTAGAAGGAAAGCGTGGGAGGTCTAAGGACCCATTTAGTCCATCTTTTCATTCATTCATTCATCCACTCATCCATCCATCCAGCAAACGACTCCCAAACACCCACTCTGGGCTAGCCTTGTCCTAGGCTCCAGGGATACACGGACGAATGAGTCATCTTCCCTGGCTCCCAAAGTGCTCAGAACCTGCCTGAGTGAAAGCACTTGCAGGCTGTTGTGGAGGGGAGACCAGTCTTTCTGTTAGCTTCTGGCTCCATGTATTTCCCGGGAAACAAAACAAGAATGTGTAGAAGCAACTCTTGGGAATCCCCAGAATTCTCTTTTCCGAGGTTCCTTTTCCTCAGAGCTCCCAGTCTGGGCATTTCCCTAAAAAGGCAGCCTGCTGAAGCCAACAGGGTAGATCTGCCCTGGGGGTCTGATCCCCATCCCCATCACCTCTAGCAGCCAGAGGTCCACACTCGCTATGAACAGCCCGACCTGCACTACCCCCTCTTCAGAGTAAAGCTCCTTCTGGGAACTTGTTTCCATCCACTCCCTCGGCTGCCTGCCCAGAAAATGTCACCTGGGGCTCAGGGTTTTCCTGTGGGACCTCGTTACCAAAGTCAGCCTTGGGGTTTAGCTCTGCCTCTCCTCAGTGTTTGCAGGGGAGACTCACCAGCTGTTCCTGTGCTCATTTGGAAATTCTCACTTTAGGAAATTCTTCAGTTTTCTTTCAAACTGAGGAGAGAGCTCAGCAAAATGGCCTCCAAAGGCAGGGCGGGCAGTTCTAACAAGCAGTACCCTGTAACCTAGAATTTGCAGTTTACCACCCTGTGTGCTTTGTTTTTGTCTCTGACTACTCCAACCCTTAGTTTCCATATCTGTAAAATGGACATAGTAATAGTGAATATTTCCTATGATAGTCATGAGGATTAAATGAAAACACATATGAATAAAGAATTTATATTATACGGATTAAGAGCATGGGGCTGTCGTGCCAGTTATATTGTATAAAGCACTAGAAACAGTGCTTAGCACATAGTAAGCAATCCTTAAGTGTTAGCTCTTAATGTTACTATTTGTGATCATAATTTGTAATTTTCAATATAACTATCTTGGTGGATTGTGAGCAGTTTATTCCCCTTAAATTTTTTCTGCCCTAGCTCCTTCGCAGAGATGCTGTTGTGGGCACTGCGTAAATATCTGTTGTATGGAGATTTAGTCTTCAATTTCTAGTTTTTATGACCTTATTGCTGTTGTCATAGCTTCTAATTTCATGATAAACCAAATTTGGGGGGAGTGTGAACTGTAAATACAGATTCTTAATTCTTCCTTTTGATTTTTTTCTTAAATTAAAAAAAAACCAAAGCCAGTTGCCGTCAACTTGGCTCCGACTCATGGCGACCCCGTATCTGTCAGCGTTGACCGTGGTCCACAGGGTTTTCAACGGCTGCTTTTCCAGAATTAGATCATCAGGCCTTTCTTCCGAGGTGCCTCTGGGTGGGCTCACACCTCCAAACTTTTGTTTAGCAGCAAACGTGTTAATCGTTTACACAACCCATGGGCTCCTTTGTTAAGTTAGATGTACTTTATGGTGTTCCACCCCATAATAGGACCCCTCACAGTGGTTGCCTAAGGCAGCAGAATATCAAGCAGTAGCCACTGAATTTTTAATTTAGATGTCAGCCATGAAACCTACTGCCTTATATAAAAGGGAGGGCTACGATTTTAACCTCCATGACATACGGTTCCTTCGTGCAGCCTCTCTCCTGCCTGAAGGTGTGCACTTGACTCGTATTAACTTGAACAGGAATTATGTATGTGCCCTCAGGGAGAGCACGCCTTTTAATGGGGGCTTCCTCACTCTGCTTTTATTTGCTGTTTAATTTTAATGAATCCTACCCTGGAGAAGTGCAAGAATAAAATAGAATATGCTTGAGAAAGGGAGGAGAGAGGGTTATTACATGTTGTGCTTTATTTTTATTCCAGGATAGCAAGTCGGTTCTTTTTCCTTTCATCTCCTTTGGTTGTCATTGGAAAGTAATTTTGGTTGCTTATTTTTTAAATTTGAAACTGAAGCAAAATACTAACCTTTCCTAGATAAAAATTCACTCATCATCCATTTTTGACAGGCTATACATACTAGACTCTGTGCAAGGTGCTGGAGATAAAAAGATATTTATTGCATTTCACAGATACTTATATAAACCCGTTGCTGTCGAGTCAATTCCCACTCATAGAGACCCTACAGGACAGAGTATAACTGCCCCATAGCATTTAGTATGTCCAGACACTATTTTAAATTGTGTGAGTTGCTTATTTCTGCTGAAAAACGCCTGAAAACTTAATGATAAACAGCTGTTTTATTTGCTCATGATTCTTTGGGTCAGCAATTTGGGCTGAGCTCAGCTGGGTGGGTCTTCTGCTGGTCTCACCTGGGGTCCCTCATTCGACTGAAGTCATCTGGTGACTCAGCTGGAGCCAGTTGGTCTAAAATGGCCTCACTTACAAGTCTAGCAGTTAGTGCTAGCTATTGGCTGGGCCACTTATCTCCAGCAGGCTAGCTGGGGCTTGCTTCCATGGCAGCAATGTTTTAAGAGGGCAAGAAGAGAAGCTGCAAGGCACCTTGAGGCCTAGGCTTAGAAATTGCACAGCATCACTTCTATTGCATTGTCTTGGTCAAAGCGAGTCACAAATTCAGCCAAGATTCAAAAGGTGGAGAACAGGATCCCACCTCTTTTTGGGAGGGAGTACAGAGAATTTGTGGCCATTTTTAAATGTAGCACCAACATTCTTTGTAAATATTGGCTCATTTAATGCTCACAATAACCCAGTGAGGTATGTTCTATTATTATTCCCACTAAAATGAGGAAAATGAGGCACAGAGATTAGTAACTTGGGATAATCACACAGCTTGGGATAATACACTATGATAGTGCTTTAAAGTTGCCGCTCATAATTTTTAAGTCTACAGTCACTATTAGGACCACCTTATTTATTTCTCTGCAGCCTGTAGAGATAGGCTGCCATGTGTTGGAAACTTCATATATGTTGTACCACTGAATTATCACCAAACCAAACCTGTTGCTGTCAAGCTGATTTTGACTCATGGTGACCCAGTGTGTTACAGAGTAGAACTGCTCGGTAGGGTTTTCTTGGCTGTAATCTTTACAGAAGCAGATCTGCAGGCCTTCTGCAGTGCCGCTGGGTGGGTTTGAACTGCCAACCTTTAGGTTAGTTGTTGAGTGCAAATTGTTTGCACCACCCAGGAACCTTGCATCATCAATCATCACAACTAGCCTGAAATGGAGGTTATTAGTCCTAATTTTCAGATGGGGAAACTGAGGTTCCTACAAGAGACCGGTGACTCACTGTACCATATGCAAGTGTATGGTCTCTACAAGTAAATTATAAATGTGCTGGAGGCAGATCCTACTTTTTTATTTTTTAATCTCTTGCTAAGGAGCCCTCGTGGTGCAACGGTTAAGTGGTCGGCTGCTATTTGAAGGGTTGATGGTACAAACCCACCCACCAGCTCTGCTGGAGAAAGACCTGGCAATCTGCTTCTGTAAAGATTACCACCTGGAAAATTCTAGTGCAGTTCTACTCTGTCACATGGGGTCACTATGAGTTGGAATTGACTTGGTGATACCTGACAACAACAATCTCTTGCTTGTCTCTACAAAATATATATATATATATATATTTTTTTGGTAATTATTAACTTTTTTTTTTTTACTGTACTTCAGGTGAAGGCTTATAGAACAAATAGTTTCTCCTGAAACAGTAGTACACATATTGTTTTATGACATTGGTTAACAACCCCACAACATGTCAACCCTCTCCCTTCTCAACCTTTTTTTTTTTTTTTTTTTTTTTGTGAAAATATACATAGCCAAAGATACACCATTTCAAAAATTTCTACATGCACAGTTCAGTGACATCGACTACACTCTTCCAATTGTGCTGCTATTCTCACTTTAGATGAAGGCTTACAGAACAAAATAGTTTCTCATTTAACAGAACACGTGTTGCCCTATGACAATGGTTAACAACCTCACAACACATCAACACTATCCTTACTCAACCTTGGGTTCCCTATCACCAGCTTTCCTGTCCCCTTCTGTCTTCTGGCCCTTGTCCCTGGACTGCTGTGCCTCATTAGTCCCATTTGGTTTTATGGGGCTGTCCATTCCCCAGCTGAACGGTGAACCTCGGAAATGACTTCACCACTAAGCTAAAAGGGTGTTTGGGGGCCATACTCTCGGGGTTTCTCCAGTCTCCTTTAGGCCAGTAGACCTGGACTTTTTTTTTTGTAAGTTAGAATTTTGTTCCACATCCTTCTTTCTACAAAATTTTAAAAAAGAAAAATATCTGTTGATTTGTTCATGACAGTCCACACAAGTAGATGGGACAATAACATGTTTTTTAGATGTCCTGTGGAGCCCCAGAGTAGAAGCAAGATGAATATTCCATTCCGCATTGGCAATGCCAAAGGAGACGATGCTCTAGAAAAAAGATTTGTCGATAAAGCTCTTGAACTCAACATGATTTCCTTGAAAGGGCACAGGTGAGTGCACATCCAATCCAGAGGCTCATCAGAGAATTGGGTTAGTGTTGTTTGAGTAAAGAGGCATTCTGCTAAAAACGCTTGGAAACCGCTGATCTGAAACACCTGTGAGGCCACCCACACTGGAATGTGAATTGAAGGCTTAGCTCATTGCCCTGTAACACATGAGGGCATTTTTATGGGCACCATGACATTTGTCTCTAGGTTTTGCTGCTAAGAGTTAGGCTGCTCAAACCTTTTAGTCATGTCCAATTTTGTCATCACTGTGTAGATGTGGATAAAATCATTCCATCATGGTCAATATGTTCTTACAAACGTGGCAATTCCTCCTTGAAGATAGCCCTCCTATGGGAACATAAGATTTCATGGTTCTTCAATGAAGGGGGAAGGTGCTAACTAGCTGTGTGGTTCAAAGTACATCATTATGGTAACCACTTCCCTCTGAGGAATAAACAGCCGGCCTTACAGCCTTAAAATTCTCTTTTAATACCAATAAAAAGAAATTGTCTCACTTGTTCTATGAATAAAGTTTCTTCGGTGATTCCTCCTATGTTCCTTGAGCCTCTTCCATCTGATAGTGAATCACTGTTACTCCATCTGAACATCCGATAAAGTAGTTAATCTTGCATGTTTTATGAACAACCTATGTCCTCACCCTCGAGAATAGCACCCAGGCACCAGGGAGAGGCCGACGCTGCAGGGGTCCTGGGCTCTCCGCTCCCATCTCGCCTGTGCTGTGCGGCAGGGATCGTTGAGTGGTGTGGTGAGCAAAATCACTCACCTTATTTAACTTAAACGTCTTTCCCATTTTGTTTTTTCTGTGCCCAGAGTGAAGAGTTGCATTACTCTAAGTTTAAGTGTGAGCATAGTGACTGTGTAGAGCATATGGGTGAATTTTCCAATGACTGAGAATGTCTGAAGGTCCCGGCCACCTGTGGGGGCTTTCAGGAAGGAGGTTGGACAAGATGGTCTCAGGTGCTACGACTCTCAGGAGCAGGTGGCTGGAAAGAGAGCTGTCTCGATGCTAAGTTAGACACTTTTGTCCTAATGGCTGGTTCTTTGGTTGTTCCAGGTCTGTGGGAGGCATCCGCGCCTCTCTGTATAATGCCGTCACCATTGAAGATGCTCAGAAGCTGGCAGACTTCATGAAAAATTTTTTGGAGATGCATCAGCTGTGAACACATCCTAACCAACGTATACTCTGTCGTTGAACAACGTACGAAATTTAAAATGACGAAGGAATGACTACCAAAATTTAACACAGTGTTTTTCTCGAATGAACACGCTTAATATAGATTTTTCCTTTCTCAAAACACAACAGCAAAACATCAAGAGCTCTGAAGAGCTGATGGGACTTAACGGCCACTTTAACTCTGACTTGAACTGGAAGCATTGTTTTAAATCTTCTGTTGTTTTTCTAACTAATTCAAGCTTATTTTGTCTTTGCTGCTACTTTTTCTAGCTAGATCTCAGTATTCAAACTTGCCTGTGGACTGAATTCTGCAAATTGCAGTTAATTGTTTCTGGAGACACACAGACTCACAGTATGGAGGGTGAGTGGGACCCCCTAGGTGCTGAATCTAGATCTTTTCCAAAATGACACCAGTGGGATCTCCTGGGTTCAGCAGTTAGTAAGACTGACCATTTGGTGAACATTTGGGACTTCTAGGCAAAGAGAAAACTATAGGTGTTTCTTTATACTGTTACTCTTATAAAGAGATAAAAGTGGCATACTGTACTTTATATAGTAAAGCCTGTTTTTAATACCATAGAGTTTCTATCTCTATGCATTTATATTTCTAGTAATGTGGTTCTCGGTGATATGGAGAAACTTTTAGAATTTGTTCGAATCCTTGACCTTGTGCATTATAACATTACATTAGCAACAGTTGTGCCCCTTTTACAAGCTGCTTCAAAAGTGCTGTTCTATTACTCTCTTTTCATTAGCTAGAAGAGAGGGTTTTTCGGTTGGTGTGCTGTTTGTTTTTTAGTAATGCCTTCAAACTAAAAATCTCTGTTAAACTCCCTTCTCCTTTGTTCACTTGACTGTTTTCTTTATTGTGTTTGACCAGAGTGATACTGTGATTTCCAGAAGAATCTCTGCTCAAGAGTCTCTTCCCCTCTTGTTTATCCATTGTCAGTAATTTATGTTGAACGTCTGAAGAACATTAAAGTACTAAAACATCCAAACCCTTGTCACTGGGTTTCTCTACCTGCTTTTTAGACAAATGGTTCTTATTTTAAACTTTATGATGGAAAAACAAGTGGAGTTTGAAAATAGTACCTGATAGTGGTAATTTAGTTTAATGAAAGGTATAAAACTTAAATCCTATGCATGCATTTTAAAAATGACTTAACAGTGTGGTAGCTCTCCGTTTGCTTTTGGAATGGACATTATCAGCAAAACACCTTCCAACTTTATGGTATAAAGTTCTATGAACTGTGTCCCACATACACAGGAAACATGCCACTGTGATAGTTTTGAGCTATCTTCATGCTTCGTTTGACTGTGTAATGGGTCTGCACTGATTTCTCATCCTATCTCTGCACCAGTTAGGTGAGTTGCCCTGGTCAAGTCACAGCCTCCCAATCTTGGCTGCCTTGTCTGTAAAACGAAGATTGAAATAACACTTAAGTTAGGGATGTTTAAGAGTTTAAAACAAGGTCAGGGTTCAATGCTAGATGAGAGCAATAACCACGCTCTGAGTAGCAAAAGCCAGCCAGTCCATGGAATCCAACTAAGTGTTCCATATTTAATAGCAGCACTCAGTCAGTCTTCCTTCCCATCCTTCATGTGATGGTTACAAGTCCGTCATTTCACCTCCTGTGTTTCTTGAGTCTCCATTTATTTCCATTCCCATTCTTACAGCCCATTCTGCTGTGTCAGCCCTCAATGGATTATTTCAGCAGCCTCCTGACTGGTCTGCGTGTCAACAGCCTTCTCTCTGCAGCCCACTCCTCATGTCGCTGCCAGGATATTACTCTCCCTCCTGCGTCTCATTGATGTGTATGAAAGCCCAGGCTTCTTCACCTGACAGTCACAGTTTTATGGCATCTGGCCTGATCTGGCCTCTTACCTCTTCTCTTCTTCCTCTATTATGGTTCTTTGAATGTGGCACGTATTGCCCACATGATGATGTAAAAACGAACAAAAAACTTTCGTATTCTCAAACGAAACTTCCTATCTCTGCTCAGCAAGGCCAACCTGCCTTCAAGACTCCTGCTGACATCTTCCTAAACTTGTTTTTATCTCCTCCATTGGAACAATTTTTCTTTTTCTTATTTTTCACAAGAGTGACCCTTCTTGTCCCATCGGAACTCAAAACTGAACCAAACCAGTTGCCATCAAGTCGATTCTGACTCATGGTGACTCACTGGGTTTTCATTTGGTTGATCTTTTGGAAGCAGATTTCCAGGCCTTTCTTCTGAGGTGGCTCTGGGTGGGTTTGAACGCCCAACCTTTTAGTTAGTAGCCAAGCATTTAACCATTTGCATCATCCAGGACCTCTTTTATCCCATCAGAGCATTTCCTTTATTCTCTTTTCTGTGCTAGTGAAGCACTGTGGAAGGAACCACGTTACTTGACCTCCAGCACCTGGCACTCTGCCTTTCCCTTCAGAGGTGCTCAATAATTATCAGTTTCATGTTGGTCTTGCTGAGTATGCCAAGCTGAGCTTCAAGAAAAACCATAGATACCAACTCTCACATACATGGATTTTTTTATTAAAAAAAAAAATAAGAATACAATTTCATTTCCCACTGAAATGATGAAACATGACTCTGGTTGAACGGGGAAATTTAAGACCTTAGAGGGCTCTCAGTCATCCTTGTAAATTATTGAAAGCTTTTGGAAAATAGTTAACAACTGCATATGTACAAGAGGTAATCACTCTTGTCTGGCCAAGCAGGGAGGTTCTGGAACACATTACTGGCAGATAATCATAGCGTGAAAAACTTGACCTTTGTATGTCTCCATTGAACTGATGCCAATCTACTGACCACATGGAGAGAGGTGGAACGGGAGCGGGTTAGCAGCCTATAAGAGCCAGAAGGGACTGGCCTTTCCTTTAAGATTAAAAGCAACATAAACAATGTCTTTGGGGGCCTTGGGGAGGCTGTGTAAGGAGTGGCCTTGTGATTCTTTGTTGTTTTTGTTGTTGTTAGGTGCCCTCGAGTCTGTTCAAACTCATAGTGACCCTATGTACAACAGAATGAAACACTGCCCAGTCTGTGTTATCCTCACAATTGTTGTTATGCTTGAGCCATTCTTGCAGCCACTGTGTCACATTCTTGCAGCCACTGTGTTGATGCATCTCTCGAGGGTCTTCCTCCTTTTTGCTGACCCTCTACTTTACCAAGCATGATGTCCTTCTCCAGTGACTGATCCCTCCTGATAACATGTCCAAAGTACATGAGATGAAGTCTTGCCATCCTTGCTTCTAAGGAGCATTCTGACTGTACTTCTTCCAAGACAGATTTGTTCATTCTTCTGGCAGTCCATGGTATATTCAGTATTCTTCGCCAGCACCATACTTCAAAGGCATCACCTCTAGGTCTTCCATATTCATTGTCCAGCTTTCACATTCACATGAAGCGACTGAAAATACCATGGCTTGGGTCAGGTGCACCTTAGTCCTCAGAGTGACATCTTTGCTTTGCCATAGAGTAAAACTCTCAGACTCTGTTAAACTAAAAACGAAGAAATTTATTAAAAGTATAAGAAACAGTTGAATGAGGAGACAGCCCACACAGAGTGAAGACGAGTGAATCCAAGGGGTGGCTGCTTCACAGGAAGAGTTACAGGGTGGAGTTAGGAACCTCCCAGCAAGGTTCTGATAGGTTGACCCTCCCTAGGCTTACCTGGACTTGTATAAGCATTGCTCCCTCCCAGCCAGAGGCTCAACTCCATATGCATCTAATGGGAAGAAGTCAAGGTTACATTCACAGGAATGCAGAAGCAGGAGCATGTAACAAAAATGGAGTCAGGCCTGCTCCTAGGCCAAACCAAAACCAAACCCGTTGCTGTCGAGTCGATTCCGACTCATGGCAACCCTATAGGACAGAGTAGAACTGCCCCATAAAGTTTCCAAGGAGTGGCCGGTGGATTCGAACTGCTGACCTTTTGGTTAGCAGCTGAGCTCTTCACCACTCCACCAGGGCCAGCCACCCTAAATAAGCCAGGCACCTGTGTTCTGAAGCTCTTATTCAGCTTTTCAACACTTTAAAGAAGTTTTTGGAGCAGATTTGCCCAATGCAATACATTTGTTTGATTCTTGACTGTTGCTTCCATGGGTGTTGATCGTGGATCCAAGTAAAATGAAATCCTTGACAACTTCAATCTTTTCTCTGTTTATCACAATGTTGCTTATTGGTCCAGTTGTGAGGATTTTTGTTTTCTTTATGTTGAGGTGTAATCCGTACTGAAAGCTGTAGTCTTTGATCTTCATCAGTAAGTGCTTCAAATCCTCTTCACTTTCAGCAAGCAAGGTTGTGTCATCTGCATAATGCAGGTTGTTAACATGTCTTCCTCCAATCCAGATGCCGAGTTCTTCATATTGGCCAGCTTCTCAGATTATTTGCTCAGCATCCAGACTGAATAAGTATGGTGAAAGGATACAATCTTGATGCAAATCCTTCCTGATCCCAAACCATGCAGTATCCCCTTGTTCTGTTCAAATGACTGCCTCTTGGACTACATACAGGTTCTTCATGAGCACAATTAAGTGTTCTGGAATTCCCATTCTTTGCAATGTTGTCCATAATTTGTTATGATTCACACAGTCAAATGCCTTTGCATAGTCAGTAAAACACAGGTAAACATCTTTCTGGTAGTCTCTGCTTTTAGCCAAGATCCATCTGACATTAGCAACTATATCCCTTGTTCCATGTCCTTTTCTGAATCTGGCTTGCATTTCTGGCAGTTCCCTGTCAATGTAGTACTGCAACTGTTTTTAAATTATCTTCAGCAAAATTAATGTCACACTTGTGTGTGATATTAATGATATTGTTCGATAATTTCCGCATTCTGTCGGATCATCTTTCTTTGGAATGGGCACAAATATGGATCTCTTCCAGTTGGTTGGCAGGTAACTGTCTTCCAAATTTCTTGGCATAGACAAGTGAGTACTTCCAGCTTTATATCCATTTGGTGATATTGGTATTCTGTCAATTCCTGAAGCCTTGTTTTTCACCAGTGCCTTCAGTGCAGCTTGGACTTCTTCCTTCAATACCACTGGTTCTTGATCATATGTTATTTCCTGAAATGCATCCTCTAAATTGTACTTCTTCCTCCAAACAATCTGAAGTACAACAGTCCCCCCTTATCCACAGGGATATGTTCCAAGACCCCCCACCTCCATGGATACCTGAAACTGCACATACTACCGAATGCTATGTATACTATATTTTATCCTATACATACATACTTATGATAAAATAATTTATAAATTAGGCACAGTAAGAGATTAACAATAATAACTAACAATTATAACAATATACTGTTATAAAAGCACAGGATGACGTGAGATTTCATCACGCTACTCATTTAACATTTTTGGACTGCAGTTGACCGTGAGTATCTGAAACCTCAGAAAGGGAAACTGCGGATAAGGGGGGGTTACTGTATGTCATTTTTCTCTTTCGGTATTCTTTTTTTTTTTTTTTCCAAAATTTATTTATTT